TACTCATAGGCTCTCAGTGTCACAGCCCATCGCTGGATCCTAGGAGATGACATTTGGGAACAGCTTTTAATTCATTAAATAAGGACAACAAGGGCTTATGGTCCGTAACGATGGTAAACTTCCGACCATACAAATACTTGTGGAAGCGCTGCAAACCGAACATAATGGCCAACCCTTCCTTGTCCAACTGTGAATAATTCCGCTCAGCCTGATTCAAAGTCCTTGACATAAATCCAATGGGTCTCTCACTACCATCTGGCATCTTATGTGAAGAACTGCACCTAGGCCATAAGGAGAAGCATCACAGGATAAAATCACATCCTTCTGGGGGTCATAATGAACCAGAACTTGAACTGAGTTGATCATTTCCTTGGACTGAGCAAAAGCAGCTTCTTCCCCCCCCCCCCCCCCCAGTTCCATTTTTCATCTTTTCGCAGCAGTTTGTGCACAGGGGCTAAAATGGTAGACAAGTTGGGTAAGAACTTATTATAGTAATTTAACAGTCCCAAATAGGCCTTTAACTCTGTCACATTCTTTGGTGCGGGAGCATTCTGAAGGGCAGTTACCTTTTCTGGTACTGGATGGAGTCCAGTCTCATCTACTTTATGGCCCAAAATGTTACCTCTTTCTCCATGAAGGAACATTTGCTCCGTTTCAATCGCAGTCCTGCTTCCTGCAATCTTCTCAATACCCTTGCGAGTGTTTGGAGATGCTCCTCATCATTACGACCAGTCACCAGGATGTCGTCCAGGGAAACCGCCACATACGGAATACCTTGCAGTACACCCTCAATGGTCCTCTGGAAGATGGCAGGACTAGAAGAAACTCCAAAGGGTAAAACACGGTAAGTAAATAGGCCCTTGTGGGTATTCACTGTGACATATTTCTTGGACTCTGCATCTAAGGCAATCTGGTGGTAAGCATGGCTCATATCAGGTTGGTAAACTTTTGCCCACCTGACAATGTTGCAAACAAATCGTCTATTCGAGGAATGGGATATTGTTCCAACTTTGAAACTCTATTCACTGTTAGCTTATAGTCACCACATAGTCGCACAGTGTTATCCGATTTTAAAACCGCACTACAGGGGCAGCCCATTCAGAGTGTTTAACCGGTTCTATGATTTTTTCTTTCAACAGGCGTTCTATTTCAGCTTCTACCTTTGTCTTCATAGCATAAGGAACGGGTCTGGCTTTGAAAAATCTGGGGACCGCTTCCTTGTCCACATAAATTTTGGCCGGTGGGCCTCTCAATTCACCCAATTCCTCTTTAAACAACTCTGAATGTTGGCTAAGCACTTCAGTCAAGGTTATATTTTCCATCCCTTGAATCTTATGTATGGCTTCCCATTCCATGCCAAATTCTTTAATCCATCCTCTACCCAATAGATTGGGTCCTGTTCCAGGTACTACCACTACTGGTAACTTCTTCAAGACTCCTTTGTGTCTAACTTCCACCTGCGCAGAACCCAACACTGCTAAGGTTTGACCAGTATAGGTTTTCAACTTCAAAGAACAGGTCTTTAATTCTGGAATTTTATGCTTTGTCCATAATTTGGAAAAAATTGGACCCATTCATCACAGTCACACCACAACCGGTATCCACTTCAAAGGTATGCTTGACTCGTTAACCGCCAATGTAATAGTCAGTGGAGCAACCTTCGGAATCTCGGTTTCTTTGAAACTGTGAACTGTAAAAATACCCTCTTCATCAGATGCACTTTTTTCCTCTCTGCCACATAATACGATCTCTGTCCTCCTCTTGTCACAGCTCTCTTACGTCTTTCTCCCCCTTGAAAGTTTGTGTCTCTGCTGGAACTTTTTGATTTGCAGACTTTCATTATGTGCCCTTGTTTCCCACATTGGTGACATTTCTCAGAAACAAATCTACACTCATTGGCCAAATGTTGCAAACTTCCACATCTATAACATGCTCTGCCTTGACTTTCTTCTTGCTTCACTGATGTTTTATGCACTCTCATGGACATGGATGTTTCTGAGCGTTTAACTTGCAAATCCCTTACATCCTTATTGGCCGTTTCCATTGCTTGAGCTACTTTCAAAGCCTTTTCAAAAGTTAGATCCGCTTCTGCCAACAGTCTACGTTGAATCGATCATCATTTATGCCACATACCAGTCTATCCCGAAGCATTTCTGTCAACTTTTTCTCCATAGTTACAATCATGAGCCAATTTCCTCATACTGCTACATATTCAAGTACAGTTTCCCCCTCTTCTCTTGACCTTGAATTGAATTTAAACCGTTGCAACAATTTCACTAGGTTTTGGGTTGAAGTGCTCTTTAAGCAATTCTACTAATTCACCAAATGTCTTTGTTCCTGGTTTAACTTGGGCTCAGCAAATTCCTCAGTAGACTGTATGTTTGACTTCCTACAGTGCTCAACAATATAGCCCTTTGTTTGTCTGCTTCTGTAATTCATTTGCCTCGAAGAAATGCTGCAAGATCTCACAATATTCCTCCCAAGACTGAGATTGACTATCAAAAGGTGAGACTGTTCCTACCATGTTGGCCATCTTCTTTTCCCAAGCTCCAACTTGTATGGAATAAACTTATTCACCTTCCAACACTTTTTTTTTTCTTCAAGGCGTTTCTTTCCTTGCTTTCATCCTCGTTGCCAAAATGTAATAACTTGCAGGAGACAAATCCGTTCAATGCAGTTCATTTACTCAAAGCACATCAAGCCAGCAGTACACTTGAGCACAGTCCAGAGCTGTGTCTGAAATCGCTCCCTATCCACTAAATAGTGCACTATATCGGGTGTCGGCCATTTTGTAGTGGTGTCCGAATTCTGAGTGAACGACATCATTCCCTACATTCATTCACTACTTTTACCCACAATCCTCTCTGAATTCGAGTGTACATTCGATGTACACTTGCTGAAGCCCTATTTCCCACAATCCAATGCGGAGAGAACTGAGCGCGCATGAAAGTTCGGCGCGAGCAAGTTTAAACCAGAGATTACATTACATCCAGTGGAGGATTTGAAAAATATCCGTTAATCGTCGTTTTGAACATAATAACGGTCGCCGGAGGCGCTCGACGACACGTCATCTGTGAACGTGAGAGTTAATGTACAATTTCAGTCGATGAAAACTACAAAGCTGGCACGGAGGTATAATTACAAAATAAAGTCATTATGATTGTTATTGTTGTTAATATTATTTTATAAAGTAGGTAATGTAAGATAAAAGGAGTTTTATCAGTACGCGTGACGAAGCCTTTTCTGCGACAGCTCCAACTCTCCGACGCACAGTGTAAACGTCAGCGTCCGAATTCACTCACTTCATCTCCATTCACTCCTTGCAGATATAGTGCACTCAAATGCCATACACTATATAGGGATTAGTGAATGAGTGAACGAGTGAGCGGTTTCAGACACAGCTCAGGTGGAACACATGTCTCCTAACAGTTTCTTCTTTGCTACTCTTAAGCACAAAGCCAAAATACATTAGATTGCCCCCTACAGGTTAATCTACAAAAACTCACTCTACAACACTTTGTTATAGAACTGATTCAAGTCAGGAAAATAATCCTTTACAACCACACCCCTTTTGTTTTTTGTGGTATTAAGGAAACGTTTTATGTCATCAACATCATAACTTCTGCTTATAGCAGCTTCACTCTGTGACAACACTGTACTCGAGTCAGACATTTCACTTCCACTTTCTGACTCTTTCTGATCCTCATCACCCTCGACCACCTCACCTTTTTTAAAACACTTTATGTGACTGATCTTTTCCACATGTTTCCGTTTTGTTGGCACTTTGAACAGCCTACTCTCTGTTTCTATATCAGACACATCGCCCATGTTTTCAACATCACTGTTCAACAAAACAGTTTTTGCAGCAACAGTTTCTGAAGAAGTGTCCCTACCTTCATTTAATGATTCCACCGAGGTCGATCCGGCTTCCACAGGCCCCTCAACAGATGCTCCTTCCCCAACAGGTATATCCACAGTCGGCACTGCTTCAGCCAGACCGACCTCAGCCAATTCAGACGCAGGCTTATCTTTAGTTGAAGCACTACCTCCAGCTGCACTCTTATCAGGACATGAACGTATTAAATGGCCCGATTTACCACATCCAAAACACTTCATTTTATCAGTGGTAACAAACACAACATATTCAAAATCATCCACACGAAAATTTAGAGCCAAGTCCAATTCCGCGTCATCTTTGATGATCATGAACGCAAATCTCCTGAATGAAACTATGTGTTTCAATAAAGGAGACTCGCACCCGATCGTGATCTTCTTAATCGGTGAAACCAACTTCCCATACCTTGATAGTGCTTGTTTCAAAATATCATCACTGAGAAACGGAGGGATATTTGATATTGTGATTTTTTTTGACGGTAACAACAGCGGTAGAACAGGTGTAAGTATTTCATCAATGATTATGCCTCTCGCAACTACCTCATTTGCTCTTTCCACCGAGTTTAAAAAAATCACGGTCGCACCATTCATTCTGGATGCGGAGAGAATGTTTTGGTGACCAACAATCTCTCCTACACCCAGACAACAAGTTTCTACACTCGCCACGGATACGATCTTAACTCCGTGACGGCGTGTTAAAACATCGAGCCCAGTACCAGCCTGAGCTGCCATGCTTTCCAAGAAAGCAGGCAGCACAAATAAACACCACACAAGACAAAAAACAAGTGAAACAAACAAATTCAAAAGAAAGAAGAAAGAAAAAAACGAAAGAAAAAACACAAAGAGAAAGAAACAAATACACGCGCTCAAAATTCACGCTCTCACACACGCTCCACAAACGCCCACGCATGCGCAGAGAGAGAGAGAGAGAGAGAGAGAGAGAGAGAGAGAGAGAGAGAGAGAGAGAAAACAACAATTATAGAAATCCATAGGAAGTCTGGCCTTTTTTTTGTCAGACCTGTGCAGCTATTTGTAACAGCTAGCTCTCACATGGAGTAATGAGAATAAGTGGGAGGTGTAGTCACATGGCTCTGATCAGGCTAGTGTCACATGGTTTGTGTTTGCAGTGACTTCAGAGCACTGGACTAACTTCTGTTACACACAGTTATGATGAAAGTGTTTTATTCTTCCTTTGTGAAATACTGAAACTACAGAGGAACTTTTAATCGAAAAGTGGCAGTGAAACAATGGAAATACCAGCCATAAGTCTCAAGGTAATTTATTATTTTTATTTATATGTGTTGTATAGTTTGTAATTTATTGTTAAATGATCCATAAAAAAACTGAAAGATCAAAAGGAAGAGGTTGTTGTTTTTTTATGTAAAAAGTTTTTTGTACACTTTATGAAACAGGAAATATCAAATAAAAACATCAATAAATACATAATTCATCATTCTAAAGCAACTTTTTGTCAGTTTTATGTCTTACGTTATTTCCTCAAATGTGCTTCCCTGATTCTAGTCGCAAATCCTGATTCTGTGTTTCAAAACCTAAACTGTTTACCTAAACAGCATTTTCTGTGCATTCATCATATAGATGCATTCAGAAGTGTATCACAGTTGGCCGGGCAAAATCTTTATTTAGTACCAATTGGGTTACACATTTTAGCTTTCTTTAAGCAATATTTACTTAGGTAAAAATAAGTTAAAATAATTGTTTGTACAACATGCTTATTGTGTTCATGTTGTATTGCAAAACACTGCACTTTTGAGATATGGGTAATGTTAGAGATAGTTTTCATGGTATGGTTAAGTTTAAATGCTGGTTCAGGGGTGGGTGTAAAGGGTCAACAGTAATTATAGATGTAAGTACAGAAATGAATTACAGATGTAATTATATGCAGGTTAAAATATAAGTACAATGTGAATATATGTACTTTATTAATATTAATGTATCAAATTATTAATGTATTAAATTACCCTTAAGTCTTAAAGGCACATAAAGTGGGAGTTGTCCCAGAATTGTCCTTTTGTATTGGTTCATATCTTGATTCTTTTAGAAAAGCCTGTGACAAATTTTGTATTTTAGAGATACCCCAGATAGCTCTGAATTCTCACTAGGTTTTGAGCCACGGCCTGTTTCTAGGGAATATATCTGTACATTTACTCATTTGCTGCACTGTGCGTGTGTTTTCTCTGCAGACAATCGTGTTGGTTCACTGGATACTGACAGTCTGGTGAGAGTTATGGCGCATTTGCCTTTCACGTTTCTGTTTTTTATCACTGACCTGAGGAATTTTACCATTAGGGAAAGTTTATCATCCAGTTCTCAGTTCAGCAGAATTGTAAATACATTTCTTCTTCAAACTTAAGAAAAATGAAGCCTCCTGTACACACACACGCACGCACACACACACACACACACACACACACACACATATGTGTGTGTGTGTTTTAAAATACTCATAATCAGACGGTGACTGTAGCAGTGTCGACTCACAGTAAGGAGTGTTTTCTGTGTGGAGTTTGCATGTTCTCCCCGTGTCAGCGTGGGTTTTATCCAGTTTCGCCCACAGTCCAAAGACATGCAGGTTAGGTGGATTGGACATGTCAAATTGTCATAGGTGTGAAGGCCATCCAGTGTTAAACGAGCGCCAAATCAAATGTGTGTGTAAAATAGGGGCGGGAATCTCTAGGCACCTCACAATTCGATTACGATTCAGAGGGCTGCGATTCGATGCTAAAGCGATTATCACAAACTTTTTTTTTTTTGTGTGTGTGTGACTAAATACTTTGCTTTAAAAGTACAAAGTAATGGGTACGCCTCAGGCGTGACAGGTGTCTGAAATCACAATCAAATTACGTCAATCCAACGCGTTCTCATCCTTTAACGTCATATAGAACGCTATATGACAAAACGGCGCTATACTACGCGCATGGCACACGTTATCGTTAATATAACACGCGCTGTGAGGGCTAAGTTTAGGTGTGGGGTAGGGTGTGCGTGTCACATTCATGCTAAAGGATTTATAACGTCTTGGGTTCGCGTGTTATATTAACGATAAAGGGTGCCATATGCGTAGTATAGCGCCGTTTTTGCATATAGCGTTCTATATGACGTTGAAGGATGAGAACGGGCTGGTCAATCACATTGACCGGTGGCAGCCTGTGACTCATTAATGTGAATGACTAACATATGACCCGGAAGTATAAAAGGGCGCCTTTCAAACATGACAATATCCTTTCATCTGAAGGGACTGTTTGGGACTGTTCTTGGGCAGTGTTCCCTGTTCTTGGGACACATAGGTTACAGTCCTGAGATGTTCCCTTTCGAAAGGGAACTTCCACTACAACGAATGACGCTTTGGGGAACGCTAACCCACGTCGCCATGCGTGCATGCGAGTGCATGCCAGGTGGCAGTGACAAAACCAGCTAATTCAAATGAAACGCGAGAACCACTCACCCTCAGGTCACACTGCCCCAGCCACCCGAAATGCCACCAGCATGGCCTGACCTGGCAGTTACATAGATACTTATTCTGGCCACTTCCTGTCTTTCCGAAGACAGAGCCTTTGGACACTTGCCTTTAGGTAAGGCATCCAACCCGAGGGACTGCAAAGCTGGCAGTGAACCACTCGGCCCGGAGAGTATGACTCAGCATAGTGCTTTCCAACCCTTGCCAGCGAAGGGAGTTTCTCTACTCGATCCACAGTTCTACCCAGTTTTTGTGTTTCAAAACATTGAGGAGTCCTGTGAAGGCCAAACCAGGCTGTAGGCAAGAAAAGAGGTTCTAGGAGGGAACCAGTAGCAGAGAATGAAAACTTTAGTCGAGGAGGCCACTAGCTTCCTGAACCCAGCAACAGGAAACCACTCACAGGGAGGCCTGGGGCCTCATTTATAAATGTTGCGTATGCACAAAAGAAGGCGTACGCCGCTCTCTATGCAATAATTGGTATTTATAAAAAGCAAACTTGATGGGAAAATGTGCGTTCCTTCACGCAAGCTCTGACCCAGGCGTATGCACAAAAACGGGTGAAATGAGAAATGGCGACACCGTTGGCAGTTGGAAAAAACATGTGAAAGTGTGCGAAACTTGACGGTTGTGTAAAATAAATACTCATAAATAACATGAAGACTTCACAAAGCAAGTCTTACAATTAACAGCCTACACGAACACCCGTTTGATCGATCTGTAACAGAAATGCAAATTGTAACACATATTTCCAAAAAGAAAAGTGAAATGTGTTCTGCAATAATATGGTCAGGTTATACAATTCATCCTTATAAATAAGATGGTAAACAGAACGAAATAATGTACAAAACTGATATTCTTGCCAATGTGTCCGTCTGGCGGAGCAGATATAGATACAATTAGATAAATAGATAGATAGATAGATAGATAGATAGATAGATAGATAGATAGATAGATAGATAGATAGATAGACTGGGGAAAGTTGTTTTCATAGTAAAAAATGTCTTCATCAGCTTTGGAATCATGGCATTCATGCGTATGTCTTTAGTTTGTTTTATTTTTGATAAAATAACGTATGACGTATGTGTTAGGGGTTAACAGTTAAAGGACCCAGAACCAGGTATGAAGAATGAAGACCCGGAGTCGGAATTATAAAAATTAAAGAAAGTTTTACTGAACATAGTTTGCCATTTCATCAGCAGAAGTCAGCTTCAAGACTCACTCAGGAGTTTGTAGGCCGCCCCCTTACTATTACAAAGATCACAGCAGTTATACTGTTTCCAAGGTCTAAGCTACATCATTGCTTACACATTGAATGATTCTCATTGGCTACGATATAGATAAACACAGTAATTTTCCACACATATACAGATAGACGAAACATATCTCCATCGATGAGGCACGTCATGACCTTCCAGGTCACAGATTTGGGTTGCTGGCACCAGTGTGTCCAGAACAACAACTCATTCAATCTCCAATAATGGCAGTGGTTCCTTAACCTGCAACTAAGAAGACTAGCACTGAACTTTAGTCTAGCTGGAGTAAGACTTCAACAAAGAAATAGTGCCTTAAACTGTTGGCTTCAATGACCCCTTTATGTTTTAACACTCAAACATAATAAACCAAATCCCTATTTCCCTATTATTTTCACTGTTACTGCATTCACCTAGGTCCTAGGACACTAGCAAATAGGAGCTCCCATCAAGGCTGAAGAGAATCTGAGCGTCTTATTATCAGTTAAGTGTACCAAAACATAATGGTAAAACATTCACTTTGTTTGGGAGAAAAACAGATAACATTTGCTTCTCAGAAAGCAAATATAATAGAAAGAATACATTTTAATATAACAATTAAAGTTCAATAAAGCAATGCTCAATATAGCTTGACCATCTGTACAGAGAAGTATCATATGTGTTGGACATATGTGTTCACGACGCCTTTAGGATCCATAAACCTTTCTCCTGAGACCAGAGAAAGAGACAAATGGCCTTGTGCACCTAAAAGAAGCTGGTGACTTGTGCATGTACATCAGCATGCATTTAAGAATATTATTTCACAAGGAAAAGCACAAAGAATACATTTATGTCAATAAATGATTAAGTAACAATGAATATACTTAATTATTGATTTTATAAAAGAAATACATAATCATTCAAGAGGATATTATGATATATATATGCTGAAGAGGCAAGGGATTTTGACCACCCCTTCAGTCCCCCGTTTTAGACCAATGTGGGGTCCAATACCGCCACGTCTGGTCTAACCAGTGAGGTCACTACGGAAGGGGGAGTGGTGACGCATGATCCCCTGACGGGTCACACTTGTCTCTTCACCTCGTCACGGACAAGCTGGATACTAAAAATTCCAGTCCCCATTAAGAGGCTCTCCCACCTTCCACTCACAACAGGACATCAATGTCATTCTTCCTCAGTTTATCAGTCAGGTTAACATTTTTATAAAACACATAACTGATTACGAAACAAGTACAGATTTATACTCTGGAAGCCGGGCTAAATAAACAAGCACTGTTGCTGTATTCCTAGCATGGGCTAGACCCGCAATCACTACTCAGATCCTAAATAAGGACATTGTCTATAATTATAAATACCAGAATATGAGCCCTATTATTTATTAATTTATTTAAAACCATAATTTTCAAATCCTTTTATCATAAACAATGTTGGATAGTTAATCCATTATTTTCACTACCCCCTTTATAGACCCTTTAGGTTCAAAACACAATGGTTGTCTAACAAAAATATAACAACAAAAAATAAAATATTAATAAGATTACTTATAATCGATTCAAGCACTTTTACGTCTTTACTGAAATTATCAATCAGTTTACGGTCACAAAGCATGTATCAGTTTAATTGTATAACATCTTACACCTGTTTTATTATTATTGTTTCAAAAATAGAAATAAAATAAAACAAATCCACATCATCAGTTTAATTATTATTTTACCACTAAAATACAGAATTTTCCCCATTCTGCTTGATAAAGCTTTTGTCCATTCCTTATCTTTATATCACGTTAAACCCTTATCTTTATATCACGTTAAACCCTGTTAATCATACAATGCCTTATTTTTATTCTGAAATATTTCATACCATTTAAACTTAATTTAACCTATATTTCTTCTATCTTTCCCTATTTACCTACACTCCTCATCTAACCAGTATAATTGTTTGCTTACAATCCACACAAACATATCTCACAAAACAACCTTTTTGTTTTTCACTTCCCTCTTCCAACAAGTCTCTCACCGCTGTCAGCCTAGTGACACTTAGAGTTCCCTCGTTAGGGAAATTATTTTATTAATTCTTCAATACCCTTGGTTTCTTATCATTAATTTCAACTTTATTTTTCCTTATAACTGCTTTACACAATATTTGTCTATCAAATGGTTAGTCTAAAGAATATTAGAAAAATAGAAGTCTAAAAATATTAACAGTATCGTCTCAGTCCCACTTATCTTTACAGTTTTACAGAAACGAAAATATTATCTTACTCACATCGCAACCTCTAAGACAGCCATAAAGCTGCTTTCTCATTTAACCTTCATTAACTAAATTGTAGTTTTCTTAGACATCTAATGTCAAACATCCATTCAATGGATTGAGAAATAACAGTTTTTTTTAGAAGTTATATTCACTCCTTTGTTCGCCCACCGGCCTTTCATAAAAAAATGAGGGAGCTCACTCTGGATAATTTGGATAGTGACTCAGCCAATGTGTCACTTTGTCTCTCTGCCGTCAAGT